ACGAGTGGCCTACTTGTTCTGATTCATAATATATTTTTATTATGGAGCGCTGAGTCCGGGGCCCCGCCCCCTCACATCTACAAAGCATTCTGCTGGAGAGCGCTACGAAGGCAGAAGTGTTTAACTACCAAATGTATAAGGTATACTTGGAAAGCGGTTTTGGCTTGTTTTAATAAAAAGCGCCGTAATCAACTTCCCCTAATTTAAAATCGGGGGTTTTTGCTATTGGCTAAACCCAATGCACTTGGAGCGCTGTGAGTGGGGCATGGCGGTGAAGGAGGGCAGGGGAGGAGAGGAAGAAGGTTTGCGCCCGGCTGTCGGAAACCGAGGCAGGAGGAAAATTAGGGGCTTGATTTGAAGGAAAACTTGGACACCCACCACTTACCCCAAGGGGGGGACAACCTGCTGTGCTCCGTTTATTTATTAAGGGGGAGGGATGTGTTGTTGGTGTTGATGTTTAAAAAAAGGAAAGAGGAAGGGGGGGGGGGGGGGGCCCAAAACTTATGTGTGGTTGGTTCAAGGGAAGGACAAGCTGTTTCTGTGCAGGTCAGCAATGCTGGCTTCCTCAGAAAGCAGAAAATTGAGCCGGGAATTGGGCTAATTGTACGGAATGTTTGGATGCAAGGTGGAAACTACCAGTTACATTATAAACCACCAAAAGCACCCTCATTAAGGCTGCCCTGCTTTCATGCCACATACTTGTATCATACGCGTCACTGTAATCCTAACACTTAGCACACCAAGCGATGCACCACACTCACCCATGCCTTACATCACTTCAGGGGACATTACATTGACTTACATGCATTTCTTGGAGACTTTCCTAAACCTTTACCATAAACCACACACATGCCTAACCCTAACCCTTAACCGGCCTTACCTACATTATGTCCCCATTAAAGGGGGAGGAGTCCCCATTACGTGACTGTGTAAACCATTATTTTAGGTCTGGCGTATAAAGCCCTTTCTCGCAAATCCCATTTAAGCTGTTTTTCAGGCGTTACAGTGAGACCAGTGGTAGTTATACAGCGGCCCGATATTTGATAGCAATGATGTTAAACTGAATATATATTTTGATTTTACAAATGGCCATGCGTGTGTTTTAAGGTTCCCATTGTAATGCTTTTCCGGGTTATTACCCGTCCCCTTGTGTGTATGAAGGTTTTTAATGCATGTAGACTTGTCTGCATAGTCACCAAACCCTCAAAGTACACCCTGTAGCGATAAACTCTAACACCAAAAGACCTGTCTGCTGCCCTGGAACGCCTCGTTGGAGAAATTTTTTTTACTCTTTTTTTTTCCCTTTGTTTTTTCTTCCTGGGTATGGTGACGTGTCCATACCAAATGGGACCTTGGTTCAAATGGGAACAATCCGGGTGGCCGTTACGGTTAAGTCCGGTGGATTGTTCCAAATTGCACAATTCGCGCGACTTCCCACACACACACACACTCTTTTTCTCGCTGCGGTCTGCGATTTCTCCTCCCTGAGACGGCGCGGCGCAGCGAGCTGTGAGTCGGCTGTGTGAGCACCACACACAAACTTCCCATTCAGGCTTGCGGGTGCATGTGTGTGTGTGTGCTCGAGCTGGTTTCATGCTGGGTTTCGCTGTGTCTTGTTGGTCTCGCAGGACGGCACTGGGCTCACAGGGGAGGGGGCAGGAGCCTCAACAAGCCGATTAGGACAGAGAGTGAATACACATACTACACAGAGATGCTGTATGAGAAACCAATGTGAGTTTGGAAAATGTAACAATGTAAATCTATTTTAGTAGACCTCAACAATGGAATTATGATCAGTAGAAATGGCCATGACATGGGACCTTTAACACAGTTAAAGTCGAGATGCAAGTTACTAAAATATCAGTGAGGAGAAGAATGACAATTGAAAATTAAAATAAGGACAGAACAAAGTGAACGCTTCAGTAATAGAGACACAAATCATACATTTATTATTAATGCTTTTTACTTTTTTAGTGAATTCAGGTTTTATGACATTTTGCTGAAATTATGAATCGGTTAATTGATTACTGAACCTACCGACAATTCATTGACAACGATTTAGATAACTGGTTTAACATTTAAAGTAAATTATCAATCAAAAATATCTAATTTGCAGGTTTTTATCTCTCAAATTTGACAACATTCAGCCTTTTTCAGATCTTTGAAAATATTATGTTCGAGTTTTGGACTGTTGAAACAAAAACAAGCAATTCAAGATGCAACCTTTTGTTCTGTAAAAGTAAAGTCACATACCTAATATGATCTATTTCTTCATTTATGTGTCCAGTTGTCCAACTGCATAAATTCCCCGAGTGCAGCTGCTTTTCAACGTGACTATTCCCAGGGACAGACCTGGGATTTACAAGAGTATCAAGACGTGCAAATAAATCTGACTTTACACGTGAGAAAAACCAGAGGGAGAACAGCTGATTCTTTTATGACGGAAGAAGAAGAAGGTGATGAGTTCTTCTGGTGAAGATGTCATTGTAACATTCCGATGGAGGGAATGCAGTAAAGTGATGATGATGATGATGATGATGATGATGATGATGATGATGATGATGATGATGATGATGATGACGATGAGGAATCTAATGGTAACACATGGATACCAATCAGTGATCACACACCTAAATGTGCACTATATTCTGTCACCTCTTGAACTTGCCAACAGCAGAACATGCTAGGTTGTTTATATTACACGAGACAATGATTACTTACAAAAATTCATCTGCATGCAGAATGATTGTCTATTAGAATGCATGTTCACTGCTGTCAGAACTTCGTCTGCTTGTGCATATCAACACTTCCAACACATTTTTCGCAAGGTGTAGCTATTAGTTGGAAACCTTATTTCCTTTCAGGGGTTATATAAGAGAAAGTAGAATCCAGGTTTTCTCCTCCATTGATTTTTTGTATCACCTCTCAGTGTCTCATGCTGATTAAAATTGAAATCCTAAAGAAAAATCTCCACTTCTACACTCTAATCCAGCACACAAGAGCGGCTGAAGAGAAAGGGGATGAATGGTTGACAATGGATTCACTTCTTTCAGAGAAGCAAATCCTTACCTGTCATTTCTAAGTCCGCGATGCAAAGGTACAGATAATTGCATCGCAATAGTGTCAGTGTATCATAAATCCAGCTTCTAAATCAGTCAATCTTAAATATTCCCTTACAAGATCCTTTTTTCTGGCATGTAAACATTCGTAGATTTATGCGTTTTTAAATATATTTTAATTGTAGCTGCCTTGGTAGGGAACATGGCTCTTTACATATCGGCATCACAAATCTGGACCAATAGAGTGGTGCAGGAATGAGTCCTACAACTCATTTTACCACTTCTGGGCCCCTTGTCTCAAATTCAAAGCTTTTTATAATGGTTAGATGCCTGAAATAGGGTATGTAGTTAGGAAGTTAACGAGATTTCAACTTTTATTCTATGACATATAATACACCAGTAATTACCCCGCTGTTGTATGGTCAAAGCTTCATTGTCTTATGCTATTAAGTATCAAAATAAAACGACAATGTCCAACCCAGTCTCACAGCATTTCGTTTCATAGTCACGAAATTAATCTATTGATTCGTGTTCACCAACACAATTTCCCCTTTTTTTTCGTGTCACACAGAACGATTTTAAAAGCAATGTAAATAATAACAAATTAGAAGGAAAAAAATATTTACAGAAATACAGATTTCAGTATTCTGTCACAGAACGATTTTAGAAGCAATGTATTTCTATAGGTAGTATGTTTCGTGCCTGCACCAAATAATAACAAGTTAGAAGGAAAAAAAGATTTAGAAAATACAGATTTCAGTATTCTGAGGCTCTGAGCCCCATTTACTTTCCTCGCAGACGGCAAAAAAAGTCAGACGTTATACAAATTAAAATAAAAACAATAATCGTGGCTTGATATTGAGTAAGAAGATGTTTTCATGAACCACACAGCTTCTGGTCTTCCAAGACCATACATGCCAACCTTTCCAAATCCAAAAGAGGTAGGTTTGTGCGCGGCAAATGTGCACGCCCAAATTAGGTAATCAGAAGAAATGGAACCCCAGTAATTACATGTAAAACCATTTATTTAACATATATTGCATCATTTTATGCATTTTTCAGAAAAAGTGGTAGTTTGGTAAATAGTGACATCAACAACATGTCTGGTCTGTAAAATGCCCGAAAAGTAAAAGAATGGGAAATAAATATCCCAAAGTCTCCACATATTATTATATTTTTAATGTGTTTCTGGTCCTCTTTCAGTTGAGAAAGTGTAGATCAGGAATGTGTCAGGATGTAGAACTCTTGTGTGAACATTGGATAAAGCCAGGTTCATATTCTT